AAGGCTGGATCTCTGCCTATAGCTTTTCCCACAATACTCACACGTAAATGGTCTCTCTGCAGTGTGTGATGCATAGTGCAAATTAAGGTCTCTTTGGCGTCGAAATGTTTTTTCACAACTCTGGCATTTGTGGGGTCTTCCACCTGTGTGGATTTTTAGGTGTTGCATAAATTGTTTTCTATTACAAAATCGCAACTTACACTCGGGGCAAGTGGACACTCCTTGACTAGAAGAGGTTTTCTGGTGTTCTGTGAGGTGTGACAACTGAGTGAATTGCTTCTCACACACGCTGCATTTATAGGGTGCCTCCCTTGTGTGAACTCGAAGATGCCTTTGCAAGTTTGACCTACGAAGGAATCTTTTCCCACACTCAGGGCACCCATGAGGGAGCTTTCCTGAATGAATTTTCAGGTGCCCCTTAAAGACCTTTTTGGAAAGAAAATCTTTCCCACACTGAATACATTGGTGTAGTTTCTTTGGGGCACTGTTTTGTGCATAGCCTCTGGGGTTGAGAGGTTCTTCCTGGTTGGAGCTCTCAGCGCTCTCTCCTGGATAAGGATTCTGATCATAGAGAGGCAGTGTGTGGTCTCTGAGTAGCTGCTCTGCGGGATTTCCCATTACGTAGCTTAGCTCTTCGAAGTCTTCTGGAAAATTGGGTTCAAGAAGTACATTTCCATCTGGAGAAACAGAAAATAGATACACACTCTCCAGTTTTTTCCGCTTTGACACATTTTCTCTCCCAATATCAAAATGAAGACCGTGAACAGAAATTGCAGATGTCACCATGTTCCAAGAATTATGGAGAACTAGTGACTGAGAAGAGTTATACTCAATGCTACTGGGAAGATACAAACTTCTTCCAAGTGCCATCCCAAACCTTGTTACCCTGGGAGTAAAGATTAATTTTCTCTCGTTTCTTCCCGAGCATTCCATGAACCCTCACTTACCTAGGTTGAAGTCAAAAAAGTCCAGTTCTTCTAGTTCCTTGCAATCCTGTAATTCCTGCCCGCAAGGCTCTTCAGGTGCAAGCTTTGGTGATAGGTATTCTGGCCATAGGAGAGATGGGAGGAAGGGTAGTTTGAGTCAACACAGGTTTTTTCAGAGTCCAGGTCTCTTCTTGGACACATGGCCTCTCAAGATCACCCTACTACCTTCTCAGCATTGCTTCACCAGGAGCCTCTGACAAGTCCTTTGTGTTGTGCTTGATTGTTTTTTAGGATAAGAACAAGACCCAAATGGTGGGGTGGGG